TTAAATTTCAAATTGAATATTAATTATATCGAATTTAAAATTAATTACTTAATTACTGAATTTGATATAAATTCAATTCAAATAATAATTATGTGCTAAAATATCAATATTTATTCGATAATTGTTTATTTGTTGCAAATAAATATTTATTCAACAATTTATTGTTTGAATTAAACAAATATTTATTTTATAAATTGATTATTTAAAGCAAATAAATTTTTTTTATTAAAAAAAATCAATTCCTAGTAGGAAAAATTAATTTTATATGAAACGTAGAGGAAAAGTTTTGCACAAAAATAAAATGAATTATCTCAAACTAAAATAAAAAAAAGGAAAAAAGTGAATCAAAAATTTGAAAAAAATAGGAAAGGAAAATAATAATAATATTTTTCTACTCTGTATGATAACGAGGCATTGATATAGTGATTAGTTATTCAAATTCATTAATAGATTGTTTCGAGTTTGATACCTATAATGTATAAGAGTTATTCTAAAGTGTTCAAGAGAAATAGAAAAAAAAGAGAGGCGATGGCACCGACTGTCATATCCGGTGAATAACGAGTCTTCAAAACACTCTCGCGCGCACCTTTTCTATCATAAATTAGTCAAAAAGCACTTGTGTCACGACAATCCGAAACGCCAGCAAACAATCTAAAAGTGAAAACGCGAATGAATAGAACGACACAATAGTCAACGTTTTTATATACTATATAACCGAAATGGGGAAGAAATAGAAAAGACCGACCCTTTGTTAGTCCAAGATATGATGGAGAGGAAAGAAAAAAAGGTGCATTCTTATCTCAAGTTCCTATACAATTCCTGTGTGTATATATACACAAAATTTGAAAATTTCTCTTCATATTTTTTTTTCTCAAAAACTCAAATTTTCTTCGCTTTTCACTTCTTCTCTTTGTTTTTCCTTTTTATACGTATAGATATGTATTTTCAAATTCATTTTTAAAGAAAAAAAAAATATTCTTATGTATAGAAAACAATAAAAGAGTTTTTGCCTTCATTTACATCTCAAAAGACAAAAACACACTCGAATGTAAATAAAGAAGGAATTGAAAATTACATTTTTTTAATTGTACCTATTGTCTGAAATTATTATTTTCATTGTGCACATATTTTATCTTCATTGTGCAAAAACAAAAATATTATTTTCACTCTGTAAAAAATATTTTCGTTCTAAAAATATTATTTTCATTCTAAAAATACTATTTTCCTTCTGAATGTATTATTTTCATTATAAAAAAATTATTTTCTTCTAAAAAATTATTACCGTTCTGACAAAATAATAATTTTGTCAGAACGATAATGATCATTTCGACAAAATTTTTATTATTCATTGTGAAGAAACATTTTTTCTATGTAAAATTGCGTATAGGTACAATTTTATATTTCAAAAAAAAAATTCACTGAAATTACAATTACCACTTGCAACTAATATCGAGAATTATCGAAAGAAATCAAATTCTATTTTTTAACAAAATAATTTGAATTATTGGGAAACAAATTTCATAAAATTTTCGATTTTCTCAATTTGATAATCAATTTTCTTGGTAAATTTTTTATTCAAGTGAAATCAGATTGTAGATTGATAGTGAAACAATTATATTCATTGATAATAGAGAATAGAAAAAATTATACACGAGGGGAAAAATAAATTTGCAATATAAAAAATAATCTATAAAAAATTAAAGTGGCAAGTGTTAATTAGTTGAATTAATAAATTAATAAATAAACTAATTGCGAAATAATAAATTCTACCATTTAGGCAGATATTATTAATTATTCACATTCAAACATTAAGAATTCGTCAAAAATTTATTGGACACTTACAAATAACTCAATTTGTCTAAATTAATTAATTTCCTCATTTGAAAAATCGAGAAAAATACCAATTTTTGTTCAATAACAAAATTAAATTGTTTTTCCATGAAATTTTATTTTTTTGCACAAAGAAAAAATTTGAACAATCGATTAATTTTCAGAGATTTGAAAAATAAATCAAGTGAACAAATAATAACAATCGAATAAATTGAATAAATGATAAAAATTCAATTCAATTTCTTTACTTGTTTTTTACTTTAATTTATTTAATTAAATTAATATTAAATTCAAATTTAATTTTGTTTTGTAAAAAAATTTTTTTTAATCGGTAAATTTTGAGAGAGTTGGTGAAATAAAATAACTAATGAATAATAACAATCGAATTAATTGAATGACAATTAAAAAATTCAATTCATTTAATTAAAATTTAATTTTTTTTTTGTAAAAAATTTTTTTATTTGATAAATTTTTCGAGAGTTGGTAAAACATATCAAGAAAATGAATAATAAAAATCAAATTAAATGAATAAAAATTGAAAATTCAATTTAATAAAATTTAAATAATATTAAATTAATTTAATATTTGATTAAAATTTACAATTTTATTTTATTTTTTGCTAAAATAATTGATTAATTTTAAGAGAGTTCATAAATAAATCAAGTGAATAAATAATGACAATTGAATAAATTGAATAAATGATAAAAATTCAATTTAATTTCTTTACTTGTTTTTTTGCTTTAATTTATTTAATTTAATTAATATTAAATTCAAATTTAATTTTGTTTTGTAAAAATAATTTTTTTTATCGGTAAATTTTTCGAGAGTTGGTGAAATAAATCACTAATGAATAATAACAATCGAATTGTTTTTAATAGATTAATTTTTTGAGAGTTGGTGAAATAAATCAAGTGAATATGAACAATAACAATCGGATTAAATGAATAACAATTGAAAGTTCAATTTAATAAAATTTAAATAATTAAATTAATTTAATATTTAATTCAATTTTACAATTTTATTTTATTTTTTGCTAAAATAATTGATTAATTTTGAGAAAATTGATTAAAAAATCAAGCGAACGAATAATAACAATTGAATGAATCGAATAATAATTGAAAATTCAATTTAATTTAATTCAAATTGTATAATTAAATTCAAATTATTTCAATTAATATTTAATTCAATTTTAAGATTGTAATTTCCTCTTCTTTTTTTTTTTTTTTTTTTTGCTAAAGAAATATAAATGCATAGACAAATTTTTCGAGAGTTGATGAAATAAATCTCGAATGAATTGAAGAACAATTGAAAATTCAATTTAGAAACTGGAAGTACAAACTTGTACTTGTAAATATTACAGAATGAAGCCACTGTGGGTCCCGCATGAAAGCGGAGTAAGAAGTATTTAGTGTTTTGTGTCAACTTCATCAGCTGCTACTCAGCATATAAACAGAGCCCTGTAGTGTGTAAGAGTTTATAAAATAATATGAAAGTGAGCTAGCTTCATATATATAATTTTTATTTCCTCTCTTTTTTTCTTCAATTTATTTCGAAGAATGTAAACGCACTCCAATTACGTAAGAATAACGGTCGTCACGCTGAGATTTTACAAAATGATGATAGGGTTCACAATAATTTCATATTTATATTTGTATACTTATAGTTATTTGGGACCTCGGAGAGAAAATATCGAAATAACTCTTTTTTCTGTTGGAATAAAATATTTTTAGGCGAATCATTAATATACTATAATCATTAATATAAATTATAAATATACTATAATCGTTAATGTCATAAATTGTATATTGTAATCATTAATATGTTCTAAAATTAAAATTAAATCCTGTAATTAAATTAAATTATTATTAATTATTTAATTAGAAATAAAAGATTTTTTCTCCCTAATAGAAAAAATAAATTATTGCCTATAATTTATGAGTAACGATTTTTAAATTAATTTCTATAGTTCCAAAGTTGCCAAATATTTCCCTCTATGAAAATACAATTTAATTCAAGTGAGTGATTAATTTTTTATTTTCTATACAATGAGAAAAAAATTTTATTTAATTGTATTTGTATCAAATAATTTTTTTCTAAACTTATTTGAATCAAATAATTTTTTTAAAAATTTCATTAGATTCAAGTAAACTACTAATTAACTGGTGTTAAATAAATATTTATTTATTTTAGATAATGAGATAATAAATTAATGAAAATAATTTAAAATGAAATTTATTTAATTCAAATAATTGATTAATTTTTGAATTTTAATTACATTTTAATTACAATGAGAAAAAAAATCTGTATTGAATATACAATTTCTTGTCTATTATAAAAAAAAATGTATTTCTATCAAGTTATTTTTCTTTTAAATTTATTTGTATCAAATATTTTTTTCTTTAAATATATTTTTAAAAATTGTACTTGATTCAAATAAACGATTACTTGTCGATTATCAAATAATAATAACAAAAATAATAACAATTTCTTTCTTTCAAATAATGAAATAATAATCAAATGGAAATAATTTTAAATGAAATTTATTTGATTCAAGTAAACGATTATTATTTGTCTGTTTTCAAATAAATATTTATTTCTATCAAATAATTTTTATTTAAGTCAATGAAATGGTATTTGTTTCAATTACCAAAATTTTTTGTTTAAATGTTATTTTGATTTGAATAAAAATTAATTGATTCAAGTAAATAATTATTTGATAACAGACACACATTAACCAGTTGTTTGAATCAAATAAATTTTCTTCCTTGTAATAGTCACTAATTGACTATTATGGGAAATAAAAAATTAGTTAATTGTCAAGTAATCAATTATTTGTTAATAATAAATTTACTTTTCTTTAGAAAAAATTACTATTCTTATTAAAATTCATATTTTTCATGCTCCTAAAATTTGGAACTTTCAAATAGACAACAATATTTTTTAATTCTTTGAATTTTTATTTTTTTATAAAAAAAATTAATTCTTAACTAAGAAAATGTTTGATTTTAATTATTAATTTTTCTTTTTTGATACGTTAATTTTGAAAAATATTTAAATAGCAAAAAATTTTATTCATCTGAACGTTCAGAACTTTAATAAATTTATTTTTCAGCGAAATGTGGGTAATTTGTTTAAAATTGGGAATATTAAAATATTTTTTGAATTCTTACATGCTCTCTGGATTTTGCTGCGTTTAGTTCAACAACTGTTTTCTGCAATTCAATGTTCTGTCGACGAAGCAACGATATCTAGAAAAAAAAATTAGATTATTAATTGCATGCAAAAATATTTGCTACAAAAAAATATTTAAGTCTTAAAAATTAAATAAGTATTTGTTATTTTATTTATTGATAAAAATAAATTTATTTATTATTCTATTTATTGATAATAATAAATAGGTATTTATTATTATCAATATTATTTAGAAGCCTGAAAACAAAAATTCTTCATTATTATTATTATTATTATTATAAATTATTATCAGAAAATAATAATTCAATCAAAAATGCTTCGTACAAATTTTTTTCAAAAAAATTACCAAAAAGGGAATATTTCAGCAAACATCGGCATCAATTTCCCTCTTTTTTCTATCCAATTCAGTGTAAAAGAATTTTTTTTAGCAAAAATAGATTCTTGGGACAAATTTCCTTTTTTTTTTTAATTAACGGTGGAATTGTCGAATTTTTTTCTCTATTCGACTTTTGAAATATATTGGAGCGAGAGAGTGTAATCAGAAGGAAGTTTTTTTTTCTTTTTTTGTGATGTGTTATGCTGCGAGTGTAAAAAGCGGTGCGATGCGCGTTTCTGTTTGCCTTTCTTATCTCAGGTTTGCACTGCGATAACCGATCTCCTCTTTCCAGCTGATCTCGTAAAGGCCTCGGATCTACTTCCCCTAAGTACTCGCCAGTCAAAGAAACGCAATCCTCTGAGGCGCGCTGGTTTAAGATGGATATAATATTATGTTGTTAGGTGGGAATTTTGTCAGACTCGTATCGACATTCATCAGTACCCGAGATAAAGAAGGCAAACTTCTCTCTTTATATTTGAAAAAAAATGATAAATTCCACTCTCATAAAAAACACATCCACAATAATTATAATGGCCCCAAGTTAAAAAAAATTTTTTTTTTTCATTTTCTACTTTTATATTAATTAGAATTATTTAATTAATTTAATTCTGAATTTGTTGTTCAATTCTGAATTATTAATTCTAAATTATTATTTTAATTATGAATTATTAATTATTAATTTAGTTCTTAATTATAAATTTAATTCTGAATTCTTAATTTCGTTCCAAATTATTAATTAAGATCTAAACTATTAATTTAATTCTGAATTATGAATTTAATTCCTAAATTATTTATTAGTTAAATTTTATCAAATTAAATTTATCCAAATTATTAAATTTATTATAGTCGAATTTATTTTTTCAATTAAAAAAAAATCTTTTCCTAAATTGTCTGCTCTTGTCACTATGAAAAAGATTCCAATAATAATCGTAACGTGAAAAGAGAGAAAAATCGAAAATATATTGTTATTTATATAAACGAATCGTTAGAAAATTCATAACCTTCTACGCATTCAAGTTATTTATGTAAAATATTTTTTATTTCATTTTTGCAGAGAGACGTGTCAAGACATAAGAGCCCCTCCCATCATAATGATGAGTTTTATGCAACAGCGAGAATTTCTAAATTCTCGATAAATTTTTTTTCTTTCTGAAGAGAAAAAAAAAATTGAACGATTTGTTAAAAATTGTGAGGAAACTAAAATAAAGGAAAGAAAAAAAAAAGGTAAGAGACAATATTGCAGTACATAGAATATAATAAATGGCACACCTGATGGTTTAGTAACAAAAGATAAATAATTGACATTAGAACTAATCGAAGTATAGATAAAAGTTATCTACTAAATTTCAAACCAATGACCATTTTCAAAGTATAATGTGTGTCGTTTCTCCATTATTTTCTTTAAATATACTAATAAATAAGAATTTTTTTAAACACGAAAAAAAAACAAGAATATTATTTACTAAATGAAAAAATTTCCATTCGTTAAAGGTAAATTTTTATTTTCAATTTTTCTAATTTAATTCTCTTGCTATTGTTCAAAATTTAATTGAGTTCTGAAAATTTGTAGATCAAGTGAAAATAAAGAAATTTGTTATTAATATTCTTATTTTTATTATTATTATCATTTATTTTATTAATAATATAAATAAAAATATTTAAAATATAAATATTTTCACACAAATATAGAAATAAAAATAATGGAAAATTAAAAGCACAAATTTACAAACAAAAAAGAAAATAATAACATTAATAATAAAATTGGAATAGAATTTTCAAAAATAAAATTATTAGATATCTGATAAAGCAACGGGAACGTGTTTGTTCTTTACTCGATTGCATTATTAGGGAAATCGACATCTGTTGAAATATTGTCTAATCGAAGGGTAACTTTTTATCTGCGAAAAATAAAACAAACATTTTATTAAATCGATTCTATTGCTAAAAATATATTTTTGATCAATTTTATATCAATTTTACCCTTCTGAACATTTAATAGCAGATAAAATATTCTCAATATAAATTTTTTTCAACTCGAAAAATAGGTCTAGTTAATTTGAAATAAAAAAATTAAGTAAAACAATTCCTGACTTTAGACGAAAGAAGGAAATTAATTTAACTAAGTTTTAAAAATTTTTTAGATCAAGTGAAATTTCTTTATTATAAAATAATTAAATAAAAAAAAATCAAGAATTATTTTAATAAATCCAACTTTTGATTAATAATTGTAAATAAAACTTAATTTTAATTACATAATATTTAATGATTGAAATAATTATTTTAATAATAATTGATATAGTTATTTAAAAGTGAAAATAATTATTAAAAAACAAAACTAATCATTAGAAAATAAAAATAATCATTAAAAAATTAAATTAAAAATTAAATTAAAGATGGAAATAAATAAATGGATAGATAAATAAAATAATAAAATAGTAAATTAACCCCCAGTGAGTAAAAAAATAAAAATTAAACTGTTAAACAACTTGATAAATATAATCGAATAAAATTATATAATTAAATTTACCTCTGCATTTTTTGCATTCAATATTTCTTGTAATTCGACACATTTTTCATTTGCCTCATTCAGCTGCTTAGATCGATCATCTGTAAAATAGTGTCTAATTAATATTATTAATAATTATATTATATTTAATAAATACTTAATTACATATTTATTTTCAAAAAATGAAACGAAAGAAAAATTTAAATTTATAAAATTCCCCGCTAAAATTTAAAGATCCTTCAAAAATACTTGATCGATAAAACAGAACCTTATTTTGACAGCAAAGGTTAACCTAACCTATGAGATAAATAACTTTCCATTTCTTTCTTGAAATTTTAATTCTATAGAATTACAAAAAAAAAATTAAATACCTATTTCTTCGACAATACCCTCAGAGAGTACTTCCTTTGTGAAATTTGTTATTTGTCCCTTTAAATTAGATAAACTTGGTAATCCATCTCCAAACCACGTCGCCATTATACACGTCAACACACTCGACGTGGAGAAATTCTTCAATTTTTACTCTATATTATTATAATTTCCAGAATTAGAAGAATTTATCACTTATTTTCTTGATGACACAAGATTTTCGTTGATAAGCGTTTAAACTAATAATTAGATTTCTCTCTAGTAGCACTATTAATTACTGTCATTTCTACATGATTAACAAATTTTGGTGGAATATTGTTAGTTTTAGCACTTTTTGAATTTATATCATGTTAATTGAGTATTTCTATTTTTCCTTTATTGTTATGAATTATTGTTGTTGATAATTAAATGCTTTGTTATAATTACTTTAGTTTTTGAACACTGTTTTTAATAGGAAATATGTTTCTTTTTTGATAGTTTTTTAAAACACTAGAAAGTTCGAGTATTGATGTACCGACTGAGTTCGGTTGGGTTGAGTTGCAAAAAGGAACTGTAGAGGGCTTTGTGTCGATTAGTGCTGCCACCTAACCTCTTCGAATATTTTGAAGTTGACAGTTTGATTTTTGCCTGTTCGTTCCTTTTTTATTGCAAAAAAAAAACTTAATAGGTAAATGTATTATTTTGATAATAATAATCGCTTCCAAATTTGGCAGAACATGAATTGTGAATTTAATAAAAGAAGACGATACAAAAGAAATAGGTAAATTTTCTTTTCTTTTCTTGATATTCTTGCTCGCACTTTTCTAGTAAACATTTTTTTCTATTATTTAACGATTTATTGTCAATTTTTTCGTTAATTCTTCCGCCCTTGAGTAAAAACAGACAAAAGAGTCAATTCTTAACCTAAAATCCAAAGGAAAAAAATTTATTTGTTTGGAAAAGGATTTTTATTGTAACCTTATTTTTTGTTATGGTTTTGTTATTGCTACAGTTTTCCTCTTTTTTATTGTTGTTTGTTTTTGTTTTTATAAAAAAAAGATAAAAGTTTACTGAAATTCAATTAAGTTAATTATAGAAATGGGATTATAATTTCGAAAAAACTTTCAATATAAATTGAAATTTGAAGACTTTTATATATAATAAAGTGTATAAACTTTTATTTAGTGCGAAAAGTAGATTAAAAACTGTAAAATTTTTCTTGAAACTTTTATACTCTTCTTTCGCGCACGTAAGATATTCTCTTTTGCAGTCTTTCAAAAGAAGACTTTATAAATTCTTTTCGTATATTAATAATAATGTTAGCAGAAAGAAGCGTAAAAAGGGGGAAAATATTAAAAGTTAATAAAAGCAAGATAAGTTTTTCTTTGAAGAGGGCACTCTCCACAGAAAATCTCTATATGCAAAAAAAGTAAATTAACTTTTGTGGAGGAAATTAATTACGAAACCAGTATTTCGTCAATAAATCAAGAAACGGAGATTTATTTTTCTATTAGCGAAAATGTTTCTTAGTATTACTTTTTTTATTTTCTTTATTTCATTGACGACAACCAAGCCGAATAATTAATTATTATTATTATAATTGCTAATTGTATTAATTATTACAATTAATAAAATAATTGCAAGAGTAATTATGTTTGAGAATGAAAGAAAAATTTTCGCATAATTATGAAAATTTTTTTATTCGAGTAAGAATTGTCTGCCATTTACGTAAGAGTTTGCGATGAATGAATTAATGATGACATGATGTGTGTTGAGAATTCAGAGCGGCGTGAAATTTTTACCTCCTGAATATATATATATATATATATATGTTTACACAGTGTAAATGTAATTTAGAAGTAGCACAACGACACAGTTGTCAAGACTTGTAATTGGTAAATTTTTTTCTAGACTCCTCTTCACTGAGATGCGTGCAACGGAGTATGTATCAGGAAGGAAGTCCCGCACTAGACCGAGTTCCTCTTCAACGGAAGGCAAATGCCGTTTACTATACTACTCTCATATGCAGTGCCGTAAGTTTTTTCCTTTTTCAGTTAAAAATTAAAATTATCTTCTCTATTTAGAATTGAACTTAAAAATTTAAATTACCTACGTCGATTTTTTATTCGAAAAACTGGAACTCTTTCAATTTCATTTCCTTTTTTCTCTCATTTTATTTTCTTAACTTGTTAATTTCTTGAGTGTTTATTTCCTTTATTTTACTTCTTTTATTTATTGCATTTATTATTCAATTTTTTTATTTATTTTCATTATTTTATTCATTTCATTTATTTTCGTTATTTTATTCATTTCATTTATTTTCGTTATTTTATTCATTTCATTTATTTTCGTTATTTTATACATTTTATTTATTTTATTTCGTTTATTATTCAATTTATTGGTCCTTATGGCAATTATAGAACACGGGACAACCTGCTGAGTTTCATTAAATTATGAAAAGTTGTTTGTCAAACAATTTCAGTAATTTATAAGATTTATGTTTTAATTTGAACTTGAAATAAGACACATTTTGTGTTTTGTTTTTTAATTATTTAAACCACTTTCAATGTTTTTTGTCTCTTATTATGTAAAAACAAGATTCAGGTGTTATAAATTGCTAAATTTGTTTATAATTGCTCAATCAATTTTATTCTCCACTTGTTTTATCTCAATCGTTAAATTTTATTTGTTTTACATTAACATTATTTTCATTTATTACTTATAATTGTTTTTAATTTATTAAACTAGAAATTTTAAATTCATAATTTTTAAATTGAATAAGTTTTCTATACAATTCTGTATATTTATTTTTAGAAATAGCTTTCTTTGAGTGCTTTTTCTTTTGATGACTGTTTTATTTTTAAGTCAGACTTTATTAATGGATGTCACTTTTCAAAAGTAGTTTTTAGTCTATTTACTCATAAATCAAAGAAAAAAAATTCTTATTTATAGGAAAAAATTTCAGAAAAATATATTTCCACTTTATAGAGAAATTCTTGTGGAAAATTCATATTTACTTTAAAATCAATTCTAATCATTTCTCCCTTAATCCAAATGCGTTTAATTTTTAATTTGTAGCTTTGGTAAAAAGAGAAATAGAAATAAAAACTTTAATTACTTTTTTCTGGAATTTTCCTTTTAGATGAAAAATCGTGATATTTTAGGGAAAAAAATCTGTTTCATATGAAAATTCAATAAATTAATTCTGAAAAAGTTTTCTGAAAGTAATTAAACTTTTGAAAAACAATTTTTCTTTCTTGAAATACGAAAATTTGTATTTTTTACTATTTTAAGAAATATTTCTGAAAAATTCTCTTGAATTTCGGAGAATAAATCTTCAAGAAATGTCTGACCAGATTTATGTAAGATTTCATGTATTCACATATTTTCCTTTTTTAGTTTCCGGGATTTGTCAAAACGGCTTTATAATATTCTATTTATGCTGTAGCGTGACAGTTTCATTTTTCCAACCCTTTTTTAAAAGCTTCTTAGCCTTTTTTAAAATTAAAGTCTATTATTTATTTAGAATAATATTGTTAATGTTATTATTATTAATAATCATTGAAGTTTATTAAAATTTTTAGAAAATAATTAAATTCTGCTGAGAATTTTACTACAGTTGTTTAAAATAATTTAATTTATTCGAGGAATTTTATTAAAATTGAAAATACAGTCGAACCTGGATAAGTGGAACCTGAAGGGACCAAAGTTCTTGTTCCACTTATAGAGGTATTCCACTTATCCAGGTCATTTAAGGTCAAGTTACTTATGCAGGGACCGCAAAGAAAGTTCCACTTAAAGAGGATTCCCACTTATCGAGGGACCACTTATCCAGGTTCGACTGTAATTGAATTCTATCGAAGAACAAATAATATTAAAAATTTTGACAATAATTTAATTCTTTCAAAAAAATTTCTTTAATTTATTGAATGTAATCGATTTTGTTAATAATTGTAATTAATAATTTTACTGTTAAAATTTAATTAAAATTATTGATAGAAAATTAAACTCTTTTAAACAATTTTATTAGATTTTTTGTAAATTATTAAATTCTTTTGAAGAATTTCTTTAAGTTTTTTGAATAATTTTAAATGGAAATTTTGAAAATAATTGATTTAAACTAAGAATTTTTTTCAACTTATTAAAATAATCGTGTCTGTTAATAATTATAATTTATTAAATCTTTGATTTTGGAAGTTTATTAAAATTATATTGAAAATAATATTGAATTCCTGAGAAGAATTTTATTATTTATATAAAATAAATCAATTCTTTCAAAGAATTTTACTACTTATAAAAATAATTGAATTTTTTCGAAAAATATTATTAAAAATTTTTTTTTAAAATTGAATTTTTGAAAAGAATTTTACTATTTATAAAAATAATTGAATTGCTTCGAAGGATTTATTAAAATTTTAGAAAATAATTGAATTCGTTTGAAAAATTATATAACGAATTTAGAAAAAAATTGAATTCTTTCGTGAAATTTGATTGAAAATAATTGAATTTTTGCAAAGATTTTACTATATATTTAAAAAAATAATTGAATTGTTTCGAAGGATTTATTAAAATTTTAGAAAATTAATGAATTCTTTCGTGAAATTTTATTGGAAATTGTTGCAAAAACTTTTACTACCTATTTATAAAAATAATTGAATTCTTCCAAAGAATGTTAGGAAATAATTCTATTCTTGCGAAGAATTATATTAAAATTTTTGAAAATATAAACAATAATAATTATTAATTATGTATTTTTAATAAATGAATTTTTAAAATTTTTATTATGAAATTATTCAAAAATTTAGATTTGAAAATAAAAAATTTTGTAATTTGCATAATAATAAATTGAATGACTTATTTTGCGCGTAACATTTGCTAGTTAATAATAAATAATATTTTTCAGAAAATCATTAATTTTTGAAAATTTAGAAATTCTCTAACACTTGTTTAGTTATTTGTTAGTTTTAATTATTATTTTAGGAAAAACAAGAAATTATGTGTAAAGTAATAATAATTAATATTTGTGATTATCATTTTAAAGTTGTTATTTAATTAAAAAAGTAATTTTATTACAGTTGTGAAGTAATATTTCAATATTTTAGTTTTTCTGGCATTTTTTTCTCTAAACAAAATAAGAGTTTTTTTTATTTATTTATTCATAAAAAATAAACTGAAACGAAATGAATAATTTCTTCGGAAGTTTTGAACATTTATTTTTAGACCTATGTTTTTCGATTAAAAAAAGAATATATATTTTTTTAAGTTTCGTTACGTAATTCATTTTAATTATCATAATACAATAATCTCTTATAGTTAATCTACCTCCCAGAAATAAAAAGTGATTAGTGTACTTTTTTTGTAGGACCGAAGATGATGTTCATTCAAAAATCATTGTCCAGTCATCGCCATCAGCGTCCACATCATCATCATTATCATCATCATTATCATCAATGGATGGAAATGAGTCTTGATTGCCCAGAATCGCCCTTGTTGAATCCGGCACTGTTCATATAGTATTGTGATTAACAAAGTGAACCTGCACAGGAGTTTCGAAAGGGTAAGAGAGATAGAATCACGAAGAAGCGAAGGAAAAGGTAAAGGAAAGAAATGAAAGGCTTATACATATACTACAAGGCAAAAGCATATCTGAATCCTCTTTTACTTGACTCGACTCAGTCTGATCGGAGCACTGGCCGTGATCCTCTCGAGCTCATCGCGCACTCTCAGCCCTCCGCAAAACTTTTCGTCATTTTCCTCCCGGTATTTCTTCAATCGCGTCCTGTATCCGTTAGTTCGCATTCCCGTCAACGTCATCTTCAAATCGTTTCTGTTTATAAACTACACGATAATTTCTTTATAAATTCTTCTTTTTTTTGTTGTTGTTGTTGTTTTATTTTTCGTGTTTTTTTTTCACTCTTCTTTTTTATTTTTCTGTCATGACGCGCGAAATACAAAAACAACTGTCATTCGGATAAACGTGGTGATGAATTTTTGTGAAATGACAATTGCTGTAAAATTAAGTGATTTTTGAGGATTTTGAGTTCTTTGATTTTTTTGAGAGGTTTGTTGAAAAGTTTTCTTTTAGTCATTATTTTTTTTTTTTATTTTTGCTTTTGTAGAATTGTGTATACTTATGAGCTTTGGTGATAAGTTATGGAGAATATTTTTGCCGGGTTGAGGAATGTCACGTGTTAAAAGACGCGAACAGGTGTTCTGCGTTGCATACAGAATAGTTTCATGTTGAATTTCGATGAAATATGCAGGCTTAATAACAAAGTTTACCAAAGTTTATATAGTCAGGGATTTTTTTTTTTTTTTGTTGAAAAGGAAAACTTTGTTTGCTTGATCCTGGCATAAATCGGATTAAGGATTTATATTTATTTTAGATCCAAAGAAAATTTCCAGTATAAAAAATATAGAAAATAAGTTTCAAAGGTTAATACAGGAGAAAAAAATTTTTATAATTCAAGTTATTTTTTTAACTTTAAAAAATGTTAGGAAATCTCGTTTCGTGCTTTATCATATTTATATCACATTTAAAAAAAAATTACAGTCATTAAAATGAATAATTTTCTCCAGCAATGCTATATTATAATTAAAAAAAATTTTCGATGGAAATATTTTTAATTTGAAAAAAATGTCATTTATTTTAAAAATGTGATTTTAAAAGAATGTATGAAAAAAATGACAATTAAATTTGTTTTAAAAATTCTCATTATATTTTATGTGAGAAGAGTGTTTGAAAGCAAATTTTAATTAAGAGAAAAAATAACACATTTTTTTCAAGTAAAATACATTTTTAGATTTCATTTACTAATGGAAAATTCTCGTAGTAATATTTTCTAATTACAGGAAAACGAATTAAATTAATGATGCAAATTTTCAAACCTCTTATTATCTTTTTTTCTATAAACATCAGTAATTGCGTTCAAAAATATTAAACAATTATTTCATTCTAAAAGAGCTGGCAAATTAATTATAACGATTCAGTGCAATTTTATTTTACAAGTTATTTATAAGAAACGTAAATTTTTATCAAATTTAAAGAAACGAGTTTTTATTAAATTCTGAAGTAACTTGAAAGCATTTTAAAATTATTAATAATTAAAAAAAAATAAAAAATATAAAAATCTTTAGTGAAAAATAATAAAAGACTAAAGTCTATTTATTTCATTTATTTCTTTATTCTTATCTTTTATTTACTTCTGTTTCGTTAATTATTATTCATGAAAAATAAATAAAAGTGAAGTTAAATTAAAAATATTTTTTAGTTTCTAGGTAAATTAAAAAATTGCAAAAATATTTGAATGTTCCTTAATTCATTCGAAAATGTAATTAAAATCCCAATTAAAATCCGCAGGATTCGTTTTAAATTCTCAATCGAGAATTTTATTGATTAAAGAAGCTGATAGTTAAAATACAATCGGACAATTAAAGACTCGAATAATTTTTGTTTCACATAATCGTTTCCTGTGTTTTCTAAGGATCGAATTGAATGAGATATGCAAAGACCGAAATAATCTAACTTGTTATCTTTGAAACACTTATCAAAATAAATTCAGCAGACGCTTTTTTTAATAGAAGACATTTTGAATCGAATAAAACGATAATAGAAAGTAAATTATAATTATAATTATTATAAAGTAAATAATTGAAAATTAATTAAGTAATTAATAAAATTAAATTTTTCATTCAATTAAAAAGAGAAAAATGTATTAAAAGAGAAAATTAAAAAAACCGTTTCACATTAATTTAGTTTTAATTTATATTTTACAAAATTAAAAACTCGTGGTTCAAATCATACAACAAAGGGCGAAAGTTTCTAAAAACAATTAATAGTTTAATTGTTTTTCATCAAATTCAATTGAACATTTTTTTACGGAATTAATTAAACTATTTTGAAGTTTTTCAAATTGCCAATAAACTCTAATTAGAGTCCACTGGGATTTTTTCGTGTGGAATTTTCTAGATTAAAAAAGTTAATAGTTACATCACAATAGAACAATTAAAGTCTCAAATTAAAATTTGTTTCATTTAATCATTTCCTGTTTTCTAATATTTTACAATCAAATTGCGGACGATGTGAATCCTTTGATTTTGCAAATTAATAAAAAAAAAAGTTCGTTCTACAAAAAGAATATGTAAAAATTATAAATTAAATTATAGATAAAATTAACTAAAAATCTACATGAACTTTTGGAAAATATTAAATTTTTCGAGTTTAAAATTAATTGCAAATAGTATTTTTTTATAATTGTTTCGAAGAAAACAAAAAACCGCTTCGATAAGAGAAATAGAATTTGATTCTTTTTTAAGAATGAAATACAAGACTGGAATTTTTCTTTGGATAAAAAAAATAAAAGATTGCGCGAATTTCACACGTGATATGATTAGATCAAAAGTCACTTCCGACGAGTAAAAGGGTGACAGCCAGTGAACAATGTAAAGGTGATATACTCGAGTTCTTATTATTCTCAGAATATGAGAGCAAAGGAGGAGCGCTTACGCCAGGTCAAAGGCATTTTGTGTACTTGTGCAAAAAAAAAAAAAAGAAAAAGAAAGAAAGAAAAGAAAATGCACCGGAAACGAATATTAAGGGAATGCATTTATACACCTTTTTGCTCGACTCGTGTGAATCTTTATATACATGCGCACTATATAACGTTTCTTTCTTTTTCATGAGAAGTAAATTAATTAGGCGTAATAAGTCCGGAACTTAAGAATCATTGTTTTTCTCTTATACGGGGGCATTCACTCTATATATGCTTGAAAGCGTTAACTACCAATAATTATATTTCTAACTGTATCCATGCGCTTTTCTCTAACATAATTTCGAGGAAAATACGTTTACCCAAGTCTCGTGTTGGAGAAAAGAAAAGAGAGAGAGAGAGAGAGAGAGAGAGAGAGAGAGAGAGAGAGAGAAACCTCCCTTCCATCGACAACGAAATCCTTCAATCCTACAATTTCATACTTAATTATTCTTTCTCGTTAGTTTCCCTTTTTTAAATTTTAATTTAACGCCCTTTATGTTCACCGTAACGAGCTACTTTTCAATTACTTGTAAATTGGTCTGGCTTTTAATTATACTTTAATCATGGCTATATTTTAGTAAATCTGTGTTTCAGTTTACTGAAATATGAATTTCTTTCTCCTTATTAGTAACTTTTTTTCAAAACTATATTTTATATCGTCACTTTACTTTTTAATTTCTCCTTTTTGACAAATTGATAATATTTTATTTGCCTTGGATTTCCTTAAAACTAAATTTAAGCTTAGATTAAATTATTTATTCAAATAAATTAACATTTAATAACAGGGTTGCCACGCAACCTGAAAACCTGGAAATGTCAGGGAATTTTATAAACCTTGAAAAAACCTGGAAAAGTCAGGGAATTTTGATCGAAATCCTGGAAAATTGTTATTTTCTAAAGTTTATTCTTGAAATCGAATTTTACATAAATATTTCAAAATTAATTAAATTTTAAAAAAGTTGCGTTTACAATTTTCATAAGTACAGATGAATTTCCAAAGATTTTAATTTGAAATTTTGTAAAATTTCAATTTTCAATGAATTTAACTAGAAATCGTCTTAAAGAACGTAAATTTTTGAGAAATTTTAATTATTCCAATTTTTCTGAAATTAGTTAAATTTTTTAATATATATTTTTAATTGATTATTAAAAATAATGGATTTATAGAAGAATTGTAATTAAAAACACTAAAAAAAATTGAATGTTAAAGCAACTACAAATGATTGCATAAATTCAATTATTTTCCAAAGTAGTAAAATTCTTCTTAGAAATTAAATTATTTCCAATAATTTTAATAAAATTCATGTCAAAATTTCAATTCTTTTCAAAAACTTTTCTCAATTCAATGATTTTTAATAAATCTACTACTTTAATAAAATTTTTCAAAAGAATTCAATTATTTAAAAAAAAATTTTAATTCTACGCAAACATTTCATTATTTTTATAAATAATAAAACTCATCTCAAACTTTCAATTATTTTTAATACAATTTTGATGAAATTCATCGAAAAATGAAATTATTCTTAAAATTTTTATTAAAATTCATCAAAGAAATTCAATTATTTAAAAAGACATTTTAATAAAATTAATTGTGTTCAACAATTTACAAAAATTCTTGTCAAAATTTCAATAATCTTTATAAATTTTTCTCCGAAATTCAAATATTTTCCAAAACTTTAATAAAATTCTTGACAAAATTTCAATTATTTTCAAAAACTCTTTTAAAAAAAAAGTTTCAAAAACTCTATTCTCTTTGGAGAAATTCAATTATTTTTAATAAAATTTTAATCAAATAACCGAAAAATAAACTTATTCTTCAAAATTTTATTAAAATTTGTCAATAGAATTAAATTATTTAAAAATTTTGTTGATACAAGTCTTTATAAAAATTCAATTTTAAGAAACATTCAATTATTTAATAAAATATTTATTTTTGTATTTAAATAATTGAATTCTCGTGGATTTTTCCAGTAAATATTGATTTAAAAGTGAATTTCAATTAAAATTTTAGATTATTATTGAATATTGAAAGCAATATAGCGTAAATTTTTAGAAATAATTGAATTTTGAAAATGTTTCAAATTAAAATCTTTTAGAAAATTTGAACTTTTCATACTTTTAATTAACAATTCGAATGTTTAGGTAAAATTGAATTGTAAACAAATGGATTTAAAAATTCTCAAAGAAGAACTTTTTCAAAAATTATTAAAAAAAATTGTTTTAAAAAAGAATTTTAGTTTAAAATTCTAGAAATGAAGAATTGAATTGAAATGAAAATAATTTTGAAGAAATTACAGTAACAATATTTTTATAATATAAAAATAATGATAGTCAGGGAATTTGAAATGAGAAAAAGCGTGGCAACCATGAATAAGTTTTAATTATTTTTGAATTGGTATTCAAAATAATTAGTTGTAATTATTTTTTTTTTACTTTATTTAATTGCATTTTTTTAATTTACGTAATTTAATTAGTTTAATTTGAAATTATTTCGGTTTCTTTTTATTAAATAAATGAAAATATCAGAGTAAAGAGGAGAAAATAAAAATGTACAGTTTGCGAAATTAAAAAGTCGTTTGCTGTTCGAACGGGTAAAAATCTTTTGAAAAGAATTAATAACGCGGAAAATATATAGTGACTTGACTAAAAGGTGAAGTAGAAATAAAAATGTAATTTAGAGTAACAGGATTGGTTTTTCTTGTGTGCGGAATAACGTTTCATCAATCAGAAAAGCTTATAAGAATCAATTAAATTCTTAAATTAAAAGTAACTTTTTTCCCCATTTTATTCCACAATGAATTGAAAAGAGTTAGCGGTCTATATATGATTACTCATCTTTAAAACATCGCTGTGTCATCGCATTATATAAAGAAAAATTGATTCTTTTCTATGACTTATTCTTATTCGAAAAATCTAAGTATATGTTAGACTTTTATTCTTTTGGAAATTAATCAAAAATTTCTTTGACAAATAGATATATGACGTCATGAATAAATAAGAAAAAAATTTGTTAGCCACACTTTTGTCCAAATATAGAAATTTGATTGTTTCTTTTTCTCTCTTATTTTTTTTTTAGTACATGTAACAAGGTGAATTTACAAAGACGTCTTATACAAGGTACCGAGAGAAGGTATTCGAAAATTTCTTTAGAGTATGCAAAGCACGGACCATTAATTTTCTTGGCGATTCGTTGGACGCGGAGGCATTCTTTCAGGATTGATGTATTATGCACGGAACATTGTCGTGTGTAAATTTTCTTCTTCTTCTTCTTCTTCTTCATTTTTTTTTTCATTCGAATCCGGCTCGAATGACTTTGGACCTCCCCGACATTGCCAGGCTTTTTAGACAGGTGCATTAGTGCTTTTAAAAAAGAAAAAAAGAAAGAAAGAGGGGAAAAAATAAAAGATCAAGTACTTGAGAAATTGAGTGTCGAAGGTATAGAAAAATTATTTCAATTCTCGCTCGCGAATTCCCCACCTTTTGGCAGGAAGAAAAATATTTTTCTTTATCTTCTCGAAAAATAAGGAAAAAAATTGTACTTTCTTCGTAAGAGGAAGAAGCATTGGAAAAAATGTTTCAATAGAGACGTTTCTTTCATTCTTGAAATTCACTTTGTTTTTCAACTGTCAAAATTTGTTTCTACCTTTTGTCAGATTTTTTGCGTGTGCTAAATGGCAAGTTTTTAGAAATTAAAAAAAATCTGAAAAAAGATTTCCGCTTGGAAATTTGTTACTTTGTCTCTTTGGTTGAAATTTAGTTTCTTTTATGATATTTATAGTTTGTGAAATAATATTTAATTATAATTAAATAATATTTTATTTCTTTAGAAATATTAAAATTCTTTTCCGAAATTCAATTATTTCAAAAATTTTAATGCAATTCTTTGCAAAATTCAATTATTTTCAGGAATTTTAATAAAATTCTTTGCAAAATTCAATTATTTTCAGAAAGTTTAATAAAATTTTTTGTAAAATTCAATTTTATTATTTTTATAAATAACCAAAATTCATCACAAGAATTCAATTATTTTCAAAAGTAATAAATTGCTTCTCAGAAATTCAAGTATTTTTAAACATCTTTTTAAAATTCTTGGCAAAATTTCAATTATTTTCAAAAATTTTTCTCAATTCAATGATTTGCAATATCTACTATTTTAATCAAATTTTCTAAAAGAATTCAATTAATTTTAAAAAAATTTAATAAAATTCTACGCAAACCTTTAATTATTTTCATAAATAATAAAAATTCTATAAGAATTCAATTATTTAAAAAAAAATTGGTACTATACATTTTTTCGACAAAAATAAATTTTTAAAAAAATTCGTCAAATTCTTTATGAGAATTGAATTTTAAGAAATATTGAATTATTCAATAAATTATTTATTTTTGTATATAAATAATTGTATTTTAGAAGAATTTTGTAATAAAAATTGATTTGACAATGAATTTCAGTTAGAATGTTACATAATAATTAAATATTAAAAGCATTATAGCGTGAATTTTCAGAAATAAATGAATATTTGAAAAGGTTTCATTTTAAAATCTTTGAAAGTTTCAATTTTTCATACTTTTAACTTACAATTTTGTAGAAGAATTAATTTTTTTGAAAAAGTTGATTTGAATTTTACTTGAAATTATTTTTTTTGAAGGGTTTTTATTTTCTATTATATATTTAATTGAAAAATATCCGAATAATTGAAATTTTTGTTAAATTGAATTGTAAACAAATGAATTTAAAAATTCTCAAAGAATTTTTTCAATTATTATTTAATTATTATAAATAATGGACTTAAAGAAGAATTTTAGTTAAAAAAAACTACCAAACAAAAATTTAATTTTGGAGAAGTTATACAAATTATTGCAGAAATTCAATTATTTTTATTTTTCTCGAAAAATGTAATTACATATTCTTAAAAATATTATTAACATTCTTTAAATTTGTTGATAAAATTCTTTATGTGGGAGTTCAATTTTGAAAAACATTCAATTATTCAATAGATTATTTATTATTGTATTTAAATAATTGAATTCTAGAAAAATTTTCTAATAAAAATTGATTTAATAATGAATTTCAGTTAAAATTTTAGATAATAATTGAATATTAAAAGCAATTTAGCGTGAATATTTAGAAATAATTTAATTTTGAAATTAATTTTTTTGAAAAAGTATAATTGAATTTTTTTATACTATTTGAAGTTTTTATTTTTTAATATATTATTTAATTAAAGAATATAGTACGAATAATTGGAATTTCGTAAAATTGAATATTGTAAACATATTTTAAATTCTCAAAGAACTTTTTCGAAAATTATTAAAAATAATATTTTATTTGAAGAAGAATTTTAATTTTTAATTAAAAATTGTAGAAAATAATAATTGAATTGAAATGACAAAAATAATTTTAAAGAAATTTAATTTAATTTAATTATTATAAAACATGAAGAAATCGATGACTTCGAGTCAAAGACTCGGAGTTATCGATATCTTTCTGTTTTATAGTTATTAAAATTTTATTTATAGTTTAAAGTAAAATTTTCTTTTATTTGACTCGGATTGGTTATATTTTTGTCCGTAAATGGTCCGTAATTTTTCATTTTTAATCCGTAAAGTCCGTATTTTTAAATACTTTCATTGTTTCGAGCCCTGCATTATTCATAAAAGAATTTTTTTAATTTAAAAAATAATTTAAAATTTAATATTTTAGAATTAAATTTAATAATTTTAAATACAGTTTTATTTTACATACATTTTTTTGTAATAAAAGCCAAAAACTGATTATTAAATTGAAATAAATGATTTAGTATAATTTAAATAAATTATAATTATAATGAGCATACTTGATTAGTTTTATAATAGATGCATGGAAAATATAATGCAAGTTTACGACAGTAATAAAGTAAGATGAATATACTGAGAGAGTGTTTCATAATTTTTTTTTCTTCCAGGGATCTTTATTAAAATTTCAAGAAGCCTATGACTAGGAAGGATACTTTTTTTTTATAGCGCATCAAAGTGAATATCTTGATGCGTATATAAGACACCCTGGGGAATCGTATTCGACGCGTATAATGTTAGAACTATGAAGTAACGGTAAAGACGAACATTGGAGAGGAAAAGGCATTTTGAGACGCTTGAATCTCTTTTCAGTGCGCACGATACATCAGGAAGCGCTTTGAAGAAGAAGTGTTATCAAATATCTTGATGTAGTCCACACACACAAAAAAAAAAAAAAAATTAAAATTCACCTCCGTAACGATCGTTGATTAGAAGAATTGCTGCTAAAAACAGAGGGAAACTATATAGGATTAATCTCTATTTTCCACATCGTTTTTTAATAAATTATTCATCATGAATTTTGATTGTATAAATATTACAAATTCTCGATTGAAGATGATTGAATTTTCAATAGAATTCTCTTCCAATTTCCTCTTTTGTCTCGCGATGTCAACTGAGTTCATTTTCGTAAATAGCCATCCTCTCTAGAATTCAATAATGATTATCCTTACTGTCGGGCAACTTGTAATATAATCGCCGAGATCTCTATCTTTCTTGTTTTCCGATAAAAGTGTCAAGTAACATCTTCCATTTATCTCCCTCTTTCTCTTTCTCTCTTTTCGTCTCCGAATATTTTTATTCCAATTTCAATTTTAGTTTTATTTTTCCGTTTTTTGCAATTATTATTAGAAAATTACGCTTTGAAAATTATTGTAAAAAATCTAAGAATTGACATGGTAATTTGTATCGTAATATTTATTGTCAGTTTAAATATTGAACTTTTTGAGTGAATTAACGATGGGATGTTTTATTGAATAATAATTTAATGAGTATTCCTTTTTAACGATCTTGAAATAAATGCGAAATTAATTAAAACTCATTAGCGGTTCAGAGAGAAAGAGTTCAGAGAGATAATTGAAATTATAAATCTCGAGAGAACATAATTTGTGAATTTTCGCAATGCTATTGACTCGAGTGCGGTATTATGTGGAATTAAAAAATAATAAAAAAAATTATTATAAAGCCAAGTAATATCTCTCTCTTTCTCTCCTTTTACCCTACGGTCAATTTTAATTCATCGAAAGGGGAACGCCTTGTTCTCGCCTCTCTCGATAGAGATAAGATCAAAAAATTGACTGATTAACGATCCAGATGAGTTTTCCTTTCGACAGTGCGATACTTGCGATAATATTTTAAATACACTTTAGTTTATAGTGTATAAAAAAATTCGATTTTGGTGGGAAAAAAAAAATTAATGTCTTGCTTCTTTTTTTTAGGATGCTTTAAATTCTGAGGAGAATCGTTGGGGTAATATTGAAGAGCAATGGTCGTCGATTGGCTGTGTCCGGGTCTTAGGCCCACTGGCAATCGGAGGCCCCGTCTTCTTCACTGCAAAGTGATTCTTCTCGATGAGCACGAACTTCTTCAGGATGTATTGGTGAGTAATGTTTTTTTTCTATTTTATAAATAGAAATATTACGCTATTTTTAGATATTAATCAGTTTTTTTAGTCGTGAATTTAAAAATTCGGTTGGCGCACACTTTAGGAAAGACAACTTAAAAAATAAACCAATTCTCAACCAACATTTGCAGGTGAAACCAAAAAATGTTTTTTATACTTTCGTATATAAAAATATTTACTCCACATTTTGTACAAAAAGAAAATTTCTCTTTCTTAATTAAAATTTTTAATATATTTATTAATTTTTAATTTGATTACTGCATTTTAGCAGTTATTTTCCTGAGCAATAAAATTCAATTTGAATAAGTAATTTATTACTGACAATTTTTATTCAAATTTATAATAATTATCGTCGTACTCCGAATGTCTATTCGCAATTAGAATTTAATCGTTTTTGTTTGTTTTCTGTTTCATAATTTTTTTTTGATAATTTTTTATTTTAAATGTTTAGAGTTTTAAAACTTTTAAAGAAATTTTTTAAAATAATTGAATTTTTACGAGAAAAATTCTTCCCACGAATTCAATTATTTTTAAAAATTTTAATAAAATTGTTTATAAAAATTCAATTATTTTCATAAATAATAAAATTCTTTGCAGGAACTCAATTGTTTGAAATACAACTTTTCTAGAATTTCTCTTAAAAAATTCAATTATTTTTATAAATTTTAATTAAATTCTTCCAAACAATTCAATTATTTCCAAAACTTTTGATAAAATTCTTTACAGAAATTCAATTATTTTCAGTCCAATTGAAACAGAATTTCAATCAATATCAAAAAATTCCAATTCAATTTTAATCTAAGGAAAATAATAAAATATCAAATTTGAATTGTATTGAAAATAATAATGGAATTTCTATATTGAAGAATTTTATAAAATTTTTGAAAATAATTAAACTGTTATTTAAAATTTAATAAATAATAATTAAAATAATTAAATAAAAAAATTGTTTTTAATGCAAAATCATAATTTAACTTAACATTTAAAAATAAAAAAATAAAAATAGAATTAAAAAAAAATTTTTGAAAATAATTGAATAATTTCGAGAAAAATTCTTTCCAGGAATTCAATTATTTTAAATATCATTTTAATAAAATTTTTCGAAAAAATTCAATTATTTTTATAAATTTTAATAAAATTCTTCGAAACAATTCAATTTTTTTTTAAAATTTTCATAAATACTTTACAAGAATTAAATGATTTTCAGTACATTGACAATTTCATTACTTCTGAAAATAATTGAATTCCTTTGAAAAATGAACTATTTATTGATATTATTCAATTCTTTCGATGAATTTAAAAAACATGTTTAAAAATAACTGAATTCTTGAATTGGATTTTATTAAAAGTTTTTTAATTTAACTGAATTCCTGTGAAAAATTCAAATTATTTTTTAAAATAATTGAATTTTCTCGGAGAATTTTTGCAAGATTTTTAAAAATAAATAATAATTAAAATAATATTTTTCAAAAATTGTTTTTAATTCAAAATCATAATTTAACTTAACATTTTAAAAAATAAAAATAGAATTTAAAAAAAATTTATGATAATAATTGAATACTTTCGATATAAATTCTTCTCAGGAATTCAATTATTAAAAAAGTCTTTTTTTAATTACTTATAAAAATTCAATTATTTTCATAAATAGTACAATTGTTTACAGGAATTCAATTATTTTAAATATAATTATAATAAAATTTCTCAAAAAAATTCTATTCTTTTTAAAAGTTTTAATAAAATTCTTCGAAACAATTCAATTATTTTCATACTTTTCGAGAACAATTATTTCCAGGAATTCAATTATTTAAAAAAATTGTAGGTATTAAATTCTTTATAAAAATTCAATTATTTTTATAAATAATAAAATTCTTTGCAAGGATTCAATTATTTTAAATACAGTTTTATAGAATTTCTCTAAAAAATTCAATTATTATTATAAATTTTTATAATATTCTTCGAAACAATTCAATTATTTTCAAAACTTTTGATAAAATTCTTCACATAAATTCAATTATTTTCAATCCAATTTAAATAAATTTCAATTAATATCATAAAATTTCAATTCAATTTTAACTTAAAGAAAACAAGAAAATAATTATAATTTAAATAAAATTTGAATTGTATTAAAAAAATTGAATTTCTGTGAAAAATGCTATCAAAGTTTTAAAAATAATTGAATTGTTTCAAAGAATTTTATTAAAATTTTTAATAAAACTTTTAAAAATAATTGAATTCTTTGAAAGAATTTTGTTTTTTATGAAAATAAGTATAATTATATTATCTGTAAAGTTGTTAATACTTTTTGTAAAGAGAGTTTTGTTTTTTGAATTATATATAAAAAAATGTGTGCAATTTATTATTTAAAATAAAATTTATTGCTTTTTTTGGAAAATAACTAACTAGAATCTGGTATGAAATTTGTAATCAACAATCCCGAAAATTCACAAATAATTTTTAGACAGAGTTGATCATTTTTGATTGTTATGTATTGAGTTCGGAATTTTTATTTTTGAAAATTTTATGTTAGATTCAGAAAATAATAAAAAAAATAGTCTCCCAAGTAATAAATTGAAAAAATTAAATATTAATAAATATTATTATATAGTTGAATATTGTGTAAAAGGATATTGATATTATCTAACTTTACAATTTTTTGTTGTAGAACACGATCACAAATTTGTAGAGAAAGCAGAATAAATCGAGTGTTTCTAATGCCATGACATATTGTCGATATTTAAGAATAAAAGCTACTGAGAAACATAAATATATATAATATTTTTATATAGTTATTGTTGATAAACGAGTGTAGGTGGTTTTTGAGATGGTTTAAAGTTGTTCAAGTGTGCAGTCAACCATTAGAAATACGAAGCATAATGTGCCATTAAAGTCCACTAACCACACTAACGTGCATGTAGGCACGCCATTATCCATTCAGTGTGATAAATCGATGACAAGGATTTCCGACATACAAATCCAAAGCCTTTGTACCCGTTTTAGTCGAAAATTTCCCCCTTCCCCCCTAAAATACCCCTGAGAGATTAGAATAGAAAGCTTTTAGCCAAATTCAATCCTTTGAGTATGTGGTTCGCACCTCGTAACTTTTAGTCTAATTAAAATCTACTTTCATAAGGCAACTCTATATTCTTTTCTTGAAAAAAGTTTTTTCCCTTTTTTGAAAAAGGAACCGTATCACTTTTTCTTTTCTAAAGAAAAGAAAAATCGACAAGTTGGCAATTTGATTAAAAAGTTTGAATTTAATAAAAGAAAAAGTTCGACTTTCAATATTTGCTGAATTTTTTCTTTTTTCTTATATGCGAAATGCTTTATTATATTTTTATGTTTATTGTTTTTTTTTTTATTGAATGGTCGTCGACCAAAATTTATAAGTATTTATCGTTTGGTAATTTTTTACAATACGTCGGTAAAGAGTATAAAAGGAAATTTCGTTATTTATCACAGACTTCGAAAATAGAACATTATTGATTCTCGATTTCGTGTTTCTATTTGCAAAAGAATGAAAAGAAAATAAATATTTATTGACGATTTAAGAGATTTGTGAATTGAACATTGCTGTTTTTATTTGGAACACGTAACGATCAAAGGGATATCGGATTTCTAGAAAATTACCCTATTAAATTGTGCTAGAGAATTTCCGAAACCACTGATCCGAATCTTTTCATCTATAGAGAAGTATCGCTTCATTGGCTGTTGGATATCAAATACATATACATATATATACACACAGAATGCAAAAGAAAGGGAAAAATATTTGTTGATGAGATTGGAAAAATTTTATGAGAATGTACAAAAAATGAATTCTAGAATTTTTTTGCCCTAAAAAGAAAATAAATAAATAAATAAATATAACTATCGATGTGTTAAAAACGTTTCTGTTTGCGCTGAATTTTTTATAGAGAAAATACTCCACTTCTTCGGCGCTTTTGACAACAACTTTATTAAATCAAAAAGAATATTCTGTAGATTTTTTTTATATTCTGTTGAGTATTTTTTATATTCTGTAAAATAATTTTTATACTCTTTTTAAATATTGTTTCATCTACTAAATATTGTTTTAATATTTTATATATTTATTAAAAATATTAAATATTTAAATATAAATATAAATAAAATATTAAATATTTTTTTAACAAAAAATATTAAAATAATATTTAGTAGATGAAACAATATTCAATGGGACAATTTTCAGAAAATAAAAAATATTCTACGGCATATTTTTTAGGAAATAAAAAATATTCTATTAGAATAATCAATTATACAATTCCAAAATGTTAACTACAATTTTTTTTAATCAATTCTTATTAGAATTCGACAATAATTGAATTATTCAAATACAAAAAGTTTTTGTGAAATTTAATTATTTTCCAAATTTTTAGTTACAATTCTTCAAAAAAATACTATAATATTTAAAAATAATTTTTTAAGGTGAAAAAATAAAATTCTTTGAAATAAAACGTTTATTTTAATGAAATTTGAGAAAATTTCCTATTTTTTCAATTTTTTAAAATTATTTTCTGAAATTCAACTAGGTATTATAAAAAATAATAATTTTTTTAAAAATTAACTTTTTCAGAATTTCTGTATGAAATTTTTCAAATTTAATTAATTTTTGTTTCATAAACATTTGAATACTTATTGTTATTTATTTGTCCACCAGAAATAAAAATTTCAAAATACTTTTAATGTAGAACCTTTTGAAATTTAATTATTTTTAAAAATTAGAACTGCAATTCTTCCAAATATTGAAATATTTTCTAAAATATTAAAGAAAATTCTTTTTCAAATCGATTCTTACCAAAAAGTTCAACTATAATTGATTAAAAAGAATTTTTGAAAGTCAGAAATAAATAAATAAGGTGGTTCATTCAACAGAATTTAGACCTTTATTTATTTATTTATTTATTTATTTATTTATTAATGAATAATTTTATTTAAAAATTTCAAAATTAATTGAATTT